GGCGAAGGCAACACGTCCTTGCAGTGTAGACGCGCTCGCAGTGAAAGTATCCGTGGAGTTCAGATATCCTTGTGGCGTAGGCATCTTTGAAGCGTTCACAGCAGCGAATTACGTCCACACGCACATCGCAAACGTAGACACACACACACACACACACACGGCCGAGGACACGACCGCAAGTCCGTCTGGAAAGAGAAGAGACGCGAGACATTAACATACGGTATACGAAACGGCCTAAAGGCTGGGTCCCGTATTTGCCCACTGCTTACGACCGAGTGCATTGCGACCTCTTGAGATACCTTACGATGAGAGCAGGAAGAGGCTCGCGCCATCTTTGGGGTGGCCCAGGAACTGCATTTCTCTATAGAGAAAGTTTTGCGCCATTTTCGAGATCAAAAAGTACCTACAATCACGAGAAACTGTCGTTTATAACAACGCCAAAAGAAGAAGAAATGTACAGAAGTCGCTAGTGTTCCACAGATAGATGGCAACCAGTGTGCCCTCTCATCGTAAGCGATCGCAGAAGGTACTAACGCACTCGGCCATAAGCAGTCGCAAGTGTGTGAACAAGCCTTAAAGAATAACTGCAAAGAAAAAAAAATTTTTTTTTTTTAAACAGCCTAATTGGGACAAGCATGTCACCAAACAAATGTTCCGCGAAAAAAATGATTTTTTTTATCAATATTTACGCCACAGGACGTAATTTAGTAGAGTCAGAACCTCTCCACATTTGAAACTCCCGCTCTTTCGACCCCCGCGGAAGAGGAGTACGCCCCGCCCCTCACTCTCCTTGCGTTGCGGAGTTGAACCAGTTGAACGACGCAGCGTCTCGACTTCCGGCAAGATCTGGCAACTACGCAGGCCGCGGTATTGTTTTGGTTTGACGCGGTTTGCGAGCACATGTCGCGAAGACGTGACCGGAGAAGTGCCCCTGTGATGTTCCCGGAAGACGGAAAGTATCGTTCGTAATCGTCGTGCGCGCTTTGAAAGCGAAGGGAGTCACAGAATCCACGAGTGCGCAACCACAAGCCAAGGTTCACGACAGCGCTGCGTTGGTTTCGGCGATCTTGTTCTGTTTGGTGCAACACGGCGATGCGACAGAGCTGAAACGTTCGTGGTGTGTGTAATGCGGTGCTAACACGGAGCGCAAATTGGTTGCTGTGGGGTTGACGTTCAACCAGTTAAGTCCCGTCGTCGTCAGCTGATCCAGTCAAACTGGTCCGGGAGGACGCTGGGAGCGTTTTTAAAAGTAAATCTGCCTCGTTCTGTTTCAAAATGTGGAAGTTTCCCGACGCATACCGTGAGTAAAAAGCTGCGGCCGTTTTCAACAAAATTACGTCGTTTTAATTGAACAATGGACTCCGAATTGTTGTCCTAAATCTGCCGTTTTTTATGCTTCGTGTTGGACTGCGTTTGCACAGCGACGTGTTGCATCGTGCGGTGTGAATAAATTTGGGCACGATTTCGTACCTGCCTACAGATGCATGAACTGAGACCATTGTTACGTAGTGGGCATAGTGCTTTTTTATTTTCTGTCTAGTCGCGGACGTTAGGTGCACATGGGGCGAATCTCGACGGCCTCCAGAGCGATATGACGAGAACGTAACTAGACACGTTGGTCGCTACGCGAACGAACGATTGCCTCCAGCCAAATAGCATTCCTTTCGGGGCGACATGGCTGCTGGAAGGCTCACTGTCGGGATCACGCATCTGACATCTCCGAAAAGTCAGCATTTGCACGCGCAAACAAGCAAAAAAAAAAAAAAAAAAACACGTTAAGCAAGCAAAGAGGAAGACGAAAGAACCGCGTTATGAAAGCCAAAACCCCGCGTCAATTCCAATCACTAACATTTGCGACAGCTGCTAAACACACACTACTTCACTTCAAGAAGTCTCACTCAAGCACCTGGGTCAGCACGAAACGACGAAACACTGATCACTTCGGCGAAACGATTAGTCCAGGTAGGTGAGACAGGCGGGAGCAGAGACTTCGGCGGCCATGAAAGAATGGCGAAGCGTCTGAATCCAAACGGAAGTGCCCGTCTTGTAAACCTTTTGTAAAGAATAATAACTCTCATCACATGGGTTATTCTTTAAACGTGAAAATATGCTGCTCAAAAGGAAATTGCAACAAATAACAAAGGTTTAACAACCAAGATCTAAGCTGTCAATCAAACTCTTAGCCAATGAGAACCTTTTGGGACTGACGTCACATAATCACAACTTCGTGGCGCGCGATTTAAAACGGACGAAATAGCCGCAAACTAAAATGAGTCTCACGCAATAAATATTGCTGTAAAAAATGTTTTTTCTCGCGGAAAAATTGTTTTTTGACATGCTTGTCCCAATTAGGCTATTTTAAAAAAAAACTTTTTTTTCTTTGCAGTTACCCTTTAAGAAACGGAACCCGCACGTAGAGCATCAGGGAAAAAACGCGAAAGCAAGAGATGCGCCTATCTGCAGACTCTCATACTATACATGGCTTGCACGTGACGTCTGTCCGCCCCTCTTTCTTGTTGCCAGAAGCGCCCCTGAAGGGGCCGTGGAACGATGTTTCTACTTTCCCAAAATACTACTTAGAATCACTCCCTAACGCCATAGCCCTGCCAAGTACAGTACAAAGAAGGACTGTACCTTGCATGTGACACTAATCATCTCGACGAAGAAAAAAAAAAAAAAGAAAGCGCACATTTGGTTGATTACAAAGAACTTGCTCTTTTAAGCGGCGCTAGGGGTGAATGTATCGCGTGTTCAAAAGACAGCTGGCACCGTGATCTCTTTAGCGATTCAGACCGCCGTCTAGTCTAAGGGTACATGAACGAGGGCAGAGGGGCAGAGCGCATACAGTGCCCAAAGATGGAGGCGTCTTCCTCCCGGCACCGATAGAGCGAACAAAACAGGCGACAAACAAAAGTAGCGTATCGCACTAAACCGCCCCATACAGAGGAGAGGCGGCCCAGGTGGCCAACTGAAGTTGAAAGACGAAGGCGAAACGGGACCCCGCCTCAAACAACGAGGCGCTCGGATTGGACTTGACCGGGGCGACGCACGCAGTCGGCGTTTCTTAAGTAACTATGAAACGTTAAAAGAAAAAAAAAAAAAGAGGAAGTAATACAAAGAAGGAAGAAAGGCGCGTGCACTGAACTTAGAACTCGAATGAATCACCGAGTTAACTTGACGGCGGCGGCGCAGAATGTTGAAAGGAACAGGTGAAAGGAGAATGAGGAAGGTGTTCGCTTTACGTAGAAACGTCATTTGTGTCCATTGTTCCATTTGTCCTTTCTTCTAAAAAGACCTTTCTATTTTCTAACAGTGAGCGACAGAAGGACGAGGCTGAGCGGTAGTGAACATAGGAAACGTCCGAAGAAAAAACATTAACTGATAAAGCTAGGATATCGCTTTCGGTCAAGGTTTTTCCAAAACGTTAAGGCTTACATGCTCGCGGCTTCACGCGGGTCCTGCGAGCCGTTGGCAGTCACGAAGAACGCAACCTACAACTCATCCTAACATTAGACGATCAGCGTGTTGGCGCGAGTCAAGACTGAAAAGAAAGAATGGACACGTAGGACGATGACGACACAACCGCATCTTTCAAAAGTTCCAAAAGGGAGCGACCGATTAAAGGCGGGAAAATTGAGGCAAGGGAAAGTAACTAAAAAGAGAGGAGGGGGTGAACAGACGATAAGATAAAATGCCAAGTCAGGTCGACGGAGTCATCTCTGATACGAGAAATTCAACTTCAGTCTTCGCCAGAAACAGTGAGGAATTAGAAACGTTGCTGTTTGCGCTGTTCATGGCAAATGATCTATATGTTGCTGTTGCCCATTTCGTGAATGTCGCTTCTCCGCACTGTACTCGTGCGCGGCAAAGAGACGGGCACTCAACAGAACTAACTAAGCCACTTGGACGGACCACGAACAATGAGAAATAGAGCGGAACCTCCGAGTGCAGTTAGCGTTCTGCACGATGACCAAGTCGAGGGACTCGTTATTGGCAACCTTTTTTTTCTTTTCTTTTTTTTTTTTTTTACGTTTTAAAAATTTTTGCACGTTTACCGTAAAGGCCCGTTCACACTCTTGCGACCGAGTACGACTGAGAGCGACTTCTTAGGACCGGATGCGAGGCAGCGGAGCTGGTCCTAAGAGATCGCAAGAGGCTTAAAAACCGGTCTGGTCTCTCTCGGTCGTACTCGGTTGCAAGAGTGTGAACGGGCCTTAACATTATGACAGAGTACCGCGGCCCGAGGTGTCGGCTACAGTATCGAGAAGCTGAAATAATTCCTTGCGCAACGTTAGCAAAAAAAAAAACATTGTATCGATTTGTAGCACGGCATAGCAAGGTAAGCAGTTCGGCGGAGTTTAGCGCAGCAATCAGATCGCTGCAAAAGTGGTGGAACGTCGCCGCACGGGGCGGCGCGTCGCCGGCAGCCACGGAAGACCAGTAAGCACGCTCGCGCGGCCAAGCGGCGGCACGGACGTCGCAAGAAAACAACAGGAACGCAGGAATACGGCAACGGGTGCACTTGAGCCCAGATGCAAACCCCTCGTTCCCACGCGCCGCCACCAGAAGAGACGCTCGAACGTGCCTCCTGCTGAAAAAGCAGTTTTCCCCCACAAAGCCCCAAGTCCCGCCACTCGGCAAGACACCAACCACATCTTCCACCCTCGCCGTCCCCAACGACCCCGTCGTTCTCCCCGTCAAAGAAACGCACAACCGAAAAACGAAGCATCCACAACAAGGTCCCCCCGCACTCCTTTCACGCCGCGCACACACAAAAAAGAGACGCGACCGGCTGGCTCCGAAGCGGCAGGCACACCAGCCGCCCAATGGGCCGGCAGTGCACAGGAGCCGCACGCACCGCGGCAGAAGGGGACAAGCAGCACCCAGACGACAAAACACGCCCCCATTGTCCAACCCCTTCCTCGCTCCCCCCAGTCACCGGCGCTATAAAAGCGGCCGGCGGGAACAGGGCCATCAACCAAACCCTCCTCCATCCGACCATGGTGCTACCGTGGTTCGATGCACCCAACTCGTGGGCCATGGCCGCCTTTCTGGCCGCGTTCCTCCTCGTCCGACGATGGACGACGTCGGGCTCCAAGGGCCGCCACTGTTCTTCCGAAGGGGTCCGGTCTTCGAGCAGATGCCCTCCGGGACCTCGTGGGCTGCCCCTGGTGGGGTTCCTGCCCTTCTTGGGCAAGGACTTTCATCGGACCCTGCAGACACTAGCCGCAGTGTACGGTCCGGTGTACCAGATCTTCCTGGGGTCCAAGCGGGTCGTGGTCATCAGCGACCACAAGCTGGTGCGCAGGGCCTTCAGTCAGGCGGCGTTTTCCGGCCGCCCGGACACCGAGCTCACCAAGCTGCTCCAGGGATACGGTGGGTCACACGTCTTGGGGCCATGGTTCGCAGAATCTTCGCGCGCGCGAGCTTTCCCATCGGAGAGGTGTGGCGGCAGACGCGCAACGAGAACACAAAACCAGCCGCAAAAAGATCGCGTTCACCAGGTATGGGAACTTCGTTGCGCGTGCATATTCGCGCTTATAACAAACCGCCGCCCGCTCGTGTGTCCATAAAACGTCATTGACCAAAGTTTAACCGATTATATCGATAAAACACCTCACAAAAAAATAATATCATTGAAGCTTGCATAGGGGATGTCGTCAGCGACCGCGAAGCTTGACACAGAATGAATTTCAATATGCCATTCATCAACTTTGCGTGTCCCCAAACATGATTACGAAGAAGGAAAAAAAAAAAAAGTTTTCGTTGAATCGCGTTTGGACAAATAAACGTACTCGAAACACTGCACTCGCGGAAGTGAGGGGACGCACGCTTCCTCTGACGCGTTTCTGCCTTGAGATTTAATTTTGCTCAGCGCGAGCTGCCACTACTGCTCATGGCGCGTACCTTACCCCACCGTATACAATACTTCCTCGCACACACTCGTTAGAAACTTGAACGTCAACTCGCTCTCAAACGCTCGCGTTTTCCCCGACGGACAGCGTGCAATTCGACGCGTGCGCCTTTCCCGCCTTCGCGCGGCAACAGTGTTACGGGACCCGAACTGGTCCACATGCCGTCCTTCTGCGGTCGATGACCCGGTCCGTGCAGCGGACGCACGTGCTTCACGTATCGGCCGTTCCGCCGCCTGTGCGACCACGATGGCTTCGTGCTCCAATTTCGCCACTCGTTTTGTTTACCTTACACGCTGCTGTGCCGAGTCTTGTTTCGTTCGAAAAAGAGGGGGGACGGCGGCCACGTTCGCCGTTCGAAACCAATTTTCACCTGTCGTTCGTTTGAATCGCGCGGAAGTTTCGATTTTCCTGTAGCTTTTCCTAGCAAACCGGATACCGTAAAAGATAAGGAAGCGCGAACATCGAATTCCTCGCCGATATTTTGACCAATGATGATGTCTGTCAGCCGTACGTGGCCTATCAGAACTGCCATTTTCGCGTACGTGTCTACCTGTGTCGGATAAAGTACATCTAAAAAGGACTTGAAGAACAAAGCACATGATAAGTTCAACGCCGTCTCCTCGCGTTTCTGGCGAGAGATTATCCCTCCCAGGTATTTCTTCACAGTTGACAAAGCATCCTTGAAGTCGGGAGTTTGCTCGAAAGGTACGAGAAAAAAAAATACTTTAAGTACAAGTACATACTCGGATAATGTACGTCAAGTAAAGTACAAGAATGTACAGTCTCCGGCAATATGAAAGACCCACTGGGAGCGCGTGGCCGAGGCGGTGGCTGGCGGGGGCGCTGCGAGCGCTCCGGGCAATTCCATTCTGCTTCGAGGGGAGGACGCTCACTCGGGCTCAGCTAAAGCGAAACGCGCTTATCAGATCGTGCTGAGCCCCAAGTCAGCGTCCTCCCCTCGAAGCAGAATGGAATTGCCCGGAGCGCTCACAGCGCCCCCGCCAGCCACCGCCTCGGCCACGCGCTCCCAGTGGGTCTTTCATATTGCCGGAGAGTGTACTTTGATGGATGCTTTGAATGTACCCAAGCCCCAAAACACCTCTCATAAAGCGACATCTCGAACGGATCGCCGTATTTTTGTAAAGTAAGGATGCGATTGAGTGAGAATCGCGACGTCGCGTTTCCTGCGGAATTGTAGAGGGGGAGGGGAAACGGCCATGCTTCCTTCCCTCTTCGCGTCCTCCCGGAGTCAATTCAAAGCGAGAAGAGGAGGAAACGAGAATCGGCGTCGACCATCCGTTGGAGATATCGCTTTATGAGTGATGCTATGGGGTTTGTAGCGCCCCGCCTAGCGCTTCCGTGTGGTTTTCTGAAATAAAAATTTCGGTTCAGCATCCCTTTAAAAAGCCCCCGAAAGAATTTTTGTAGCAGTTGCGTTGGGACACGCAAATTAAAAAAAAAAAATAATTTTACAAAAAAATTAATTCACCCCAATATTGATGGCGCGAGACGCGATTTAGTCGTTAGTAACCTCCTTTCCACTTGTTTTCTCTCTCGGCACTTCAGGCGCGTGGTGGAGAGGTGGATCGGCTTGGCCTCCTCGTTGAGGTGGAGAGAGAGTATGACCATCTTGTTGAGGTCGAAAAAGTGCACAACCATTACGTGGTGTCATGGACTTTGCGCGCACATTTTAAAGCAAATTTCGCGCCGTCAATATTGCTCTAAAAAAAGAACGCGTAAAATTAATTTCTTCACACGCGTGTCCCAACCAAACTGCTAAAAAAACTTTTTTTAATGTTTTTTTGGGGCTCGTTTGCACACTTGCGTTTGCTTACGACCGAGTTCTGTGATCTCGGACGCCGACAACATACTGGCAGGTTGGCGCCATCTATGAGGAGGCCCTGGAAGTGCATTTAAGTAGAGTGAAGCCTTTTGTAGTATTCGTGATATAAAATGTCCCTATGAGAAATGGTCGTTTATAACACTTAATTTTTTTCAAGCAAATAATAAATAAAAAAAGAAGGCGCGAAAACAAAATAGCACATATACGGAAACACCAAGTGTTCCTTAGGCACTCGATAGATAAAGACAGTGGATACGCACGTTGCAATTGATCCTAATAAGTAAGGTTTAAAAAGCAGGGTCGACAATATATATACAATTATTTAAATTGTTCAGTTAAATCGTAATTTATAAATCGTAATTTAAATCACACTAGTTTTACCGCGGTGATTTAAATCAAACCTTTCCCATACAAGTAATTTCCAGAATGTGTTTTTTTAACTTACTTCGTCTGTTATTGCACGTTTTCTATGTGCATTCGTTTTGTATCTAAATCAAAGAATCATCAAGAAAGATTGCAGCAGGCTGAACACGAGCAAAACGCAGTGCACTTCTGATCAAATCAGAATGTTCAGCTTTGTTTCTACCTTCCATTTTGTACATTAGCTACATTGTTTTGTGTTTTTTTTAATGAAAGTCATAATGTAAAAGAAACGAAAACAAGTAACACCATATTGCGAGTAAATCAAACAGTAAAATATGTTATTAAAGCTTTTTTTTTTTTTACTGACTAAAAAAGACCAAGCTATTTTTGTTCTAGTATGTTGTAAATCCTTACAACAATAAAAAGTTCTAAATTAAAGTGCACTTTAAAAGTATAGTATATTTTTCGTCTGTTTTTGATGGACTGGTCAATCATTAGGTGATACATCTAGAAATAAATAATTGCTTTTTCGAAGCTAGAGCGATTTATATCAAATTAGTCTGCTTTAAACAAAATTAATCTGATTTCAATAAAGTTAATCTGATTTCAATAAAATTAATCTGATTCGAATCAAATAAATCTGATTTATTCAATTTTCACCGTGGTTTTAGGTCACTTGGTCGAAATCAGTCGCAAGCGTGTGAACCAGCCTTTATCTTCAACAACGAGCGCTAAGACAGGCTTCAAACGGGGCAACTTTCCCGGCAAATTCGGGGTTGCTGGTGGGTTGTTCCCCGGCTTTCCCTAGACCGACACGAATGGCTCGGATCATGTCCGGCACGAAACGGGCGAGCAGCTCGAACAACTCGGAGATGTTTGAAGCGGCAGCAGCCAATCAGGAATGAGATATATTCACGCGAGACCCCTGGCGGTAATGATGAAAGCTAAACACTTGGGTCTGGTTTGAGATTAATCGCTTTTTGGGGGAAAAAGAATCGCTTCGGAAAGATGAAATAGTATTCTCAATGCCATTTAAAGGAGCTGTGCAACAATTTCAGGGCTTTGCTTAAATTATTGAGGAAGTTGATGCCTGGCACTTCTGAAGTGAACTACAGAAAACAGATTTTGCCTGGATATCCTAGCTTTTATTTAAAAAAATGAAAAAGATCCAGGTTTTTGCCGCCTCTCAACTCGTACGTCGTCTTCCGGGTCACGTGCGCAGTGACGTTGATGGGGTAGGCGCGGGGTTCCGGAAAAGTTCTCTCTTTAGAGCCACCAGCGAGCAGCGAGAACTCATCCGCTCGCGACCGCGTGACCACATGCTGGCGGGCGCCCCGCGAAATATACGGTGAAAGGAGGAAAGTCTCATCCGGGTCCGGCCCGTCGGGCCCCGTCCGCCTATCCCTTTGGCTTCTGGCGGCTGTTCGCGGTAGCAGAGAGAGCTGACGATTTTGTGGACCTAGGATAGATGGCGCCACTAAAACTCCGTATCATAAAAGTTTTGTGAATGATACCAGGTTTTTGACGCATTTATATATATATATTGGAACGACAAGATTTATAGAAAAGTTACCTTTTATCGAGCAGGTATTCGCACAACTTGCTACCTTTCTACAAGATTCCCCATTGACGTCACGCCGCGTGTTTCTCATGACCGCCGCTCGCGGCTGCAGGTCGGGGAATATTCTAAGTTTTGCCTCGCTATTACGCGGCGGAATCGTAACATTTCGATAAAAGGAGGTGTGATTTCTGTCATTTGTGACAAGGTGAACAATGTCAAAAGCAGAAGATGCCAATTCTTTCAACGTTAAAATCGTTGCACAACTCCTTTAAAGATATAAAAATCATGTTTGTAGTGTGTCACAGTGCATCTAAAAAGTGCAAGAAAAATATGATTTAACGATGATGGTGAGTCGTAGCAATAGACCACTTCCATAAATCCCTGTGAGCAACACTGCACGCATTGCACTCTGGGAACTAGCTGGCCACGGAGGAGAGCGGCATGGTTTCGATTTCGATTGACACGCCGAGAGGAGGTCATACACAGAGTGTGGATTATAAACAACCGTTATCTCATGTTTCCTGGTCCCGAGTGCATAGCTCTGGGCCCCTAACTGACCTAAATGACCAGACCTCGAAGTTTCAGCACAAGCCCGAACCATAAGTAAAGCTTGTCTTGACACATGCTTGTTTATTTTTGTACTCTAGCCTTTTTGTTAGTGTTTCGAGGTATGTGGACGAGCCAGTGCTGGGAATCTCGACGTTGCGAAACTCGGGGATCTTGCTTGTGTAAGAGTCAACACGCTGTAACAACCAATAAGTTTGCGTACACCGAGCTCGCAACTTTATATCAGTGTTGCTGGTCAGCAGGTTTGTTACTTGCTTTATGTGTCTATTGATGAAATTAAATTTTTTTTTCAATTACTGTTTTTCTTAACACGCCCAAGTATACGAGGTAAAACTGGGAGATGCCGTTGAAAAGATAAGAAAACACCTCTTATCCCTTCATAGCTGTACTGACTCGCAGCTGCACGAAGCCCCCCCCCCCCCCCCCCCCCCCCCCCGAAATCTTCAATTTTGCTGGGACCTCCTCTCCTTCCTCCCCCTCATACAGCTGGGACCTCCTCTCCTCTCCTCTTTTCTCCTCTCTTCCCCCCCCCCCCCCCCCAAACACAAAATCCTGGCTACGTGCCTGGCTAGATTTGCCTGCAAATTTGCCAAACACACCAACCAGCATTGCTGAAATAGTATCCCAAATATTAAGTCAAAATACTTGTTTATTTGTTTTATAGTGAAGTTATTGAATTTACAACTTTGGCCCTCACCGTGTTTTTCGAACTGGTAGTCTCTTACGTCAACAACGAAAAAATGACGCCAGTGGAAGGTATGGGTTCACCCTTTGGACTCTAGATTTTCTTCCCCACTGATTGACTACCAGCAGTTTCATGGTGTCAAATGAATGCTTTGGAAGCTCGCTCCAGTACCCATGCCCCAGCAGGGAATAATTGCTTGGCATAGTCTATTTTTAGACTCCTTGCTCCCCTGCCCTCCACTGACGTCACAGCACTGAGAAGTGCGGGTACATTTGAATGTTGGTTTTTGCAGCCTTTTCATTTGAGAATTTCAAAATAACTATTATGAATTCTGCGATACTAAATAGCCTACCAGAAAGGGTAAAAGCCGTGGATTCAGAAAATATAGTTAGTTGGGATAGCTAAAAAAAATCGCCGGAATACAACTTTAACAGCTGCCACTGTAAAAAAAAAAACGCCTTCTCTGCTTGCAGGCATCGTGAACTCAGCAGGCGCCCTGTGGCGGGAACAGCGGGCTTTCCTGCACCGCGTCTTCAGGGACTTCGTGCCCAGACACGGGCGGCCCGGAAGCGTGGCGCTCGAGCAGAAGATGCAGGTCGGTGCGCCAGTCAAAAGCCACCACCAACTATATTGTCTTTTATCGTAGGTGCGAGCGAAGCCGAAGTTACGAGCACGCGGTCTTTAAAGCCGCTTTCAATGACGCGCGGCAGCATAAGACCTTTCTAAATAAGAGTGTGTGGCCGGTGACTTCTAGAGTGTTCGTGGGTACGGCGCGTGCTTTACTCGCTTTTTGAAGCGACAAACACGCACGAGCTGGGCTGTAAAGATCGCATACTGGACTGTGATTTTGTAAACATTAGAAAGGTTTAAAGAAAGGCACATTTGACAGCAAACAACGCGGACCCGCACTAGCCACCTTCATTATCCTGTCAAGTTAGAAGCGCTTCAGACTTTTTGCTACATTAACCCATTGGTACAACGACATTGCAAGAATGTTTGGGAACATTCACAAAGAGCATAGTGGTATACTCCGTTTCACCTTATGTTGTACCGCTGCGAAGGCTAGAAGCGCGAGCTCATAGCGTTGGGAGCTGCTCTTGGTGCACGGGAGCTTGTGCTGCCGGAATGTGTCCTAGAGCAAGGAGCTCGCGCTCGTAGCCTTTCCTGCGGTACAAAACAAGGTGAAACAGAGTATAGCTATAAAAATAAGGCGTTCAATTCGTTTAAAATGACGTTTTCTTGTCTTCTCAAATAAAACATTGGTGTCTCCGCAGCATTCCCACAACACAATCAACGTTTAAACAGTAAAAGGGCGCTAGACATTAGTTTCCATACCCCCATAAAGTGGTGCGTAATAATGAGACATCACTGTAACATGCCTGAAACACTAGCTACTGCAACATGCCCGAGCATTCCAAAAATGTAGTTACAGACTCGGTCAGTTTGCATCTGTTGTGTCCTTGTTGTTTTCGGCGTCTAACTTTAAGAATCGTTACACACGTGTCAAATTACAGCCACCATTGCTGACTTACTCCTGTCTTACCAAAATACCGAGCTAGTGAAATGGGAGTTAACGAGCTTCCACAAACCAATGCTGGGGAAAACACAGTAGAATCTAAAATGTCAATAACCTGGCCTTCTATGGTATTTTGCCGTATTTGCCAAACCAAATATACAAGCTATCTTCTGGAAATGGCCACTTATAGCACTGTTAGATTTAATTCACTCTTATGATACAAGAATGATGAGTAAAAAATGAGGAAATATACATGAACAGGAAGTGTGCCGGGCTACCCAATGGATGGCCCCACTGAGCTTGTTGCCACACAAACTCAGTCTGAGAAGCTTGAAAAACTGCTAGAGCCCCCAGTTAACCATGCCGCACGCCCTTCTGACCCTTAGGTGCACATCGGGGAGTTCCTGGCGTCAGTCGACTCGTTCGAAGGCAGCTCGTCGCAGGTGCGGCACTCCATCGCCCGCGCCGTGAGCAGCATTCTGGGATCGTTTCTGATGAGCGTCACCTACTCATCACGAGACTCCAAGTTTGAGCAGTTGCTGGCACTCTTTGAGGAAGGCTTCCGGCTGCTCACGCTCGCCGTACCCGTCAACTTCATCCCGGCCTTGCGCTACGTGCCGGGCTCCAACTGGGCCTACCGGCGCATCAAGCGAAACCGCCGCCAGACGGCGGACTACTTCCGGAGAATCGCCGACGCCCACCGCCTGTCCTACGTCGAGGGAACGGTCCGGGACATTGTGGACGCCTACCTGGTGCAGCTGGCCCACGACAAGGCCAGGGGCCCGCCTGACCGGGACGGGAGCTCCTACTTCTCGGGTGAGGACAAACCTCCCAACGTCCTTTCGGGGGACACCCTTTGCAGATGATCGCTTTAAAAACAACGAAGGGCTGCATGCAAGGAATTGTGGGGAAGATCCTACGTGCACCTTGTTTACATACACAGGCAGACTTAGCCTTAGACCGACGAATGCCGTGAGGTAATGCGGAGTAAAGCCGCTCGAATGGTTATGGTAGCGTAAAATGCGCCAATTTACAAGGCCCGCACGTGGTTCGGGTGGGCCCTGCAATACGATGGTTATCGGTAGTACTTGTAAGCAGCGGATATAATGTGGAGTGGAAACTCCTGCAACTTGCTGGTTATACCTTTGTCTGTGAAAGTTAATAGCCGGTAGTAGAAATGAAAAAAAAAATATTGTTTTACGTGGCATTCAGCCCTACTGTAGTGTCCGATTGTTTAAAAACCAACCAGAAACCGATCAGAACAGATGCCCTTAGTCTATAAAAAATAATCCTCAAAGATTTCTGCCATCCCTGACGATAATCTTTATATTTTCAGAGGAGCAGCTGGTGCAGGTGCTGATGGACATCTTCAGCGCAGGCCTGGAGACAGTCACGTCCACCCTCGAGTGGGCCATCCTCTTCCTCGTGCGCCATCCAGACGTGCAAGAGCGCGTGCGGCACGAGATCGAGGCCCACGTCAGGCCCCACGGGAGACGGGCAACCATGGCCGACCTGCCGGCCCTGCCATACACCGAGGCCACTATCCTGGAGGTGCTACGGCGGGCCAACGTCATCGCCCTCGGAAATGCCCACGCCACACTCTGGTCAGCACTCACAACTATGAGGTTGCGTGCACCTTGTGGATGGGGGCTTGTAAATGCTTGCCACTATGGCTTCTGGGCACTGCCACCTTGCTGATGGTGTGTAGACCTTCTAACAGCTGTGCCCTTTACAACGGTCTGTAGCTTGTGCCACCTAACCTAGAAGCTTTACAAACACGATTCCTCCCCTCTTAATCAATGCATTTCTATAACTATTGTAAAAGTCACCACTATACTCGTAAGCAGGGATGGACAAAATACATGCAAATATGTATCGAAATACAAATACAAAATACTTCGTCAAAAATGTAATTACAAATCTAGTTACATTTCCAAAAAAGCATTTAAGTACAAGATATAAATACAACCAAATGTATTTGGTCTCCTCCAAATACTTTTCCAAAGAGATTCCTCAAAATTTGCATCAGCGACTTCAGGGCACCTGCAACGAGTTTCTGGTTATCTCATTTTAATTTTGCATCGCACACTCGGGAGTTAGTGTGCGAGGCTCTAGTGACGTAATAGAAACATAATCACAAAAAAATGTAATCAGCTTGGACATAATAGGTGAAAAAAGAACAGAGCTTGAAGCAGCTTTTTTTGTCAATTGCATTTTGGTATAGACCAACAAAGAACCGAGACGAACAAGACGTGCAGCACTACCTAGAGAATTTTTTATTGTTGCAACTCGCACCAGTTACGGAAATCTGGACGACCCGCGCATTTAGAATGTTCCAGGCAAAAATATGGATGGAAATCAGGCTGGAAAGCGTCACAAGTTGTCACAGGCACTTATTTAGCCAGTCTGCCTGTGAATGTCGATTTCGTTACCATTCTTGCCCTGGACTAGCACCGTAATCACAAAGTCACTAAACGTTTGTGCATTATTGAGAGACACTGCATTCGGTGCAGAACATAGTTTTTTTCCTGCTCTGGACAGTGACAATAAATTTTAGGGATGTATTTTCGCCCACAAATTTGTATTTAATTACAATTGTATTTGAAATACCTGCGTTTTAGTATTTAAATACACATGCAAAATACATTACCCAATTTGTAATTAAATACAAATGCAAAATACACAAAGTATTTGAAATATGTATTTCAAATACTTGTATTTGAAATACTGCCCATCCCTGCTCGTAAGCCATTACTGTCACCTAGAACCTTGAAAGTCGCCGCCCGGTGGAGGCTTCAAGCAACTTGAAATGAGGATGCTTTGATGTCCCACTGGTGCTAGCAGGCTTGAGGCACACACCATGGCGAGTTCATGGGTATTGCTGAAATGCCCCTAGCATGCTTCTTGCTGCAAGGAAAGATGGTCCAGTAGGTCCTCTGGTTCCCGCTGCTTTCTTCCGAGGGTAATATGCGATGGAAGTATTCCAGGACTCTACTGAAAGCTTCCTAGAGTCGCTCTGTGGCATCACAGGTAAATGCTACGGATAAGGATAGACCACCAGCAAAGACTCAAAAGCTGTCATGTTCACGTACAAGTGCTAACGACCACAAGAATTTAGACAATATGTTGCTTTGGATATCTTGCTTGGAAGGCAATTCTTTAAGACAGTCAGCCAAACATTAATTCTGTCATAGTAACCCTTTCCGTGTAATGACAATGAAGGCTGAGGTTTGCTTTTCCTGCTTCAAAAGAAGTAACCTTTCAAAAGATGCTGAAAAGAATGCCCCTACTGTATGTGCCTACCCTGCATCATGAGATCTTGACACTGGAACCATTCACAAAATTCTAGACCCAATTTATTGTGGGCATTCTTTAAATTGCCATTCATAGGTCACTACTGCTCTAAAATAGCTCCAAATCACAAAAAAAATGGTTCAAAAAGTAATATCCTCCCTCCATTCAGTAGTAGTAGGACAGCTTTTATTTCCAGGTAAACTTAGCAGGACCAGGGAACCCAAATCACTTCAGAAAAAATTAATTCACTCAACGTTTCGAGAGCCCATGGTGAGACCGTTCTTTAGAAAACACATGCTTCTTGTGCTAACCATGAGGCATATCCACACCAGAACATGTGCATTCAACTCAGTGGACCAAAACCAGCCAAGTCAGCAACGAGCCGATATATCTGGAAATATTTCCGTGCAATTTTTAGTGAAGGACCAAGTTGAATCTCGAGAAGGAATCGCAGGATCACCCTTTACCCCGCAGTGATGTGGAGCTGGCGGGCTACCACATTCCGGCGGACACGCACGTCATCTCCAACCTCTGGGCCATCCACATGGACACTGAGCTGTGGCACGAGCCAGAGCTCTTCAATCCAGGGCGCTTCCTAGTCAATGGCAGGGTGCACAAGCCGGACTTCTTTATGCCCTTCTCGGTTGGTGAGTGGTGCTTCTCCGAAGATTGGAGTTGATAATCTTATCTTCATTTGGTTCCATAACCGTGCGTCCATCTTTGTGCATGTTCTCTTCAAACTTGGGTATCCTTTTATCGTGCCCCAGTCTCGGGCTAATGTCATCATGGTGTACGAACCATATTTCTCTCAACTAAATTATTCACACAAAAGTCCCGTGTACCTATGCCTCCATTTAGCCAGTGTTTTTGCCGGAGAACAATATGATATAATTACCCTTGTTGCTCCAAAAATTAACAACATTCTTTGCTGCAGAGGAGACGTAGTTTGAAACATTCATGGACGCACGTGCCCCGAACCAAAAACGTTGCAAAGAGGAGTGTCACACGTTGTGCGTGTGACACTCCTTTCAACAGGGACAGTTGGCACACACAGCCATGCTCACATCAAGCCAGGGCAAGCATGAGAGGCAGACTTTCCGTAAAATTAATTTGCGGCACCATAAATTAGCAGACTTCTTTACATTTCTGTTCAACGCATTTCAAACATAAATGCCTTTCTAGTGTTTGCAGACTTAGAGGGGCAAAGTTTCTTGGGGTGACATCACCGAGGCTTTCGGGGCCGGTTTGCTTGAAAAAGCGTCGTAGCTAAGACTGAAAGAGAGCAGACTGACATGTGACCTTGAGCATCAAGTGCGGACGCACTTCAGACTCGACTTCACATGCCACTCAACTCGAGTGCTAACTTCGGCAGTGCTTTCTTTCACGCAATTTTGGGCAAGACTATTTCTAGGAAGCTGGCCCAGGGGGTTTCTTTTCTTGAGACTGAATGGTCATCAAGCAAGTGTGAAACGCCGATCACGCTCAAGGGCGCGTCCCTCTCTCTTCCCCAGGGCGCCGCATGTGCCTGGGGAATCACCTGACGCAGACGGAGGTCTTCCTGTTTCTCAGCAACCTGGTGCAGAGGTACAGCCTCGAGCTGCCACCGGGAGAGAACCTTCCATCGATGGACGGTCATGTCGCAGTCTCCCATACCCCCACGCCCTTCAAGCTCAAGGTCACGCCAAGGGCACCTCTATGCAAGGCCGTCGCATGAGCAAACGACAGCACAGAGTTTGTTTCGCAATGCAATGTTGTATTGTCATGCTCCCAACAACTGCCGTTTATGAAAATGAAATGAAGACGAAGCAACGCACCGAAACGAGGTGGACAGTTGCAAACGACGGTGCAGCCATCGCTCCGAAGTTCTGGTGCCAAGGTCCGACCAGCGGAAATGGAAGTAGTCACTGCCGCAATCCTCCAACAGTGGACTATATTAGTCATACCCAGGTCCTGTTGACACCTTTGTTGCTGGGAAGTTATACGCAGACTTTGCTCATGTAAGGTGACCGAGCTAGAGTGGATGGAGACTCACCTAATTTCGGGGGTCAGAAATGTGAGAACAAGTGACATTGACACTTTGTGTCGTAGAAGCCGAAAGGTTCCAGACACAGAAGTCAAGGCCACATACCAACTGTAGGCTTATTCTCAGCTCTTGTAGAGCCACAAGAAAGCATGTTAAGGAAAATGTGCTTGCTCAAGCTCTGTAAGAAGCAATACAGAGAAACCTATTATCGTGCCAATCTCAGTGCCATACTCAAAATTTTCATTGCATGAGCAAGAACCCCCAAAGTCAAATGACAGTTTTTCCAGACGAGATCAATCAACTGCAATGGCAGCATGTGCCTGGACTGAGCTAGGGATACATCCGTAACGACCCTAGAAAGTATCAAGTTCGGGCCCACTATACACTGTAAATGTGCCAAATCATTGTGAGGCTTCGTATCAACCATCTATGTCCTATGACAAAGCAAGCAGTCTACACTTGGATAGATTTGGGCATGTTTCACATGTTAAAAAAGTCACAAATCATAGATTATTTCTATAAATGCACCTAACAGCGTAAAAAGATAAACAGAGATCAATTGATCTACTCCAGTCCAACAGGATCTCAAAAGCCCTTGTGATCTCGTGTACATAGGAGTTTACAAAAGTTGCCTGCAAGTTGTTGTCATTATTGTCGCCTCTGTTGAATCTTTCTTCCTTACAAGTTGTTGTTACCACCTGTAAATAGCTTGCCATTGTTTGCTGCCTCAAATACAAACTTTCGAAAAAAAATACTTGCCACTGTGTGTTATATAGACCGTTCCATTAGGGTCATAGCAGATAGGGTAAAAAGAGAAAAAAATTCCCTCCCCCTCCCACCCGCATGTCGTCTGCTCCGCCGAGTGGGCTCTACCTTGCATCCGGCTGGCGTACAAACTCTGTTTAAAATCGCATCATTTTGGAAATTTCAAGCACAGATGCGCAGATTTTGGTATGCCAGTTATCGTGTAATACTATGCTAGATAAAAAGACTAATAGGGTCCAATTGCTCTGTTACCTGCATGCACATAAAAGAAAAAATAGGGAAAACTGTGTCAGATTGGCCGGTCTCTCCGGCGAAAAGTAAATCCGGTTGCTGTACCTTTTTTACTATACAAAGTTCGTACTGGTGTAGGCCTTTAGAGACCATGAGTGGAAGTCTGAAATAATAAACAAAAACATGCTCTCCTGCCGCAATACACGCCAGTAGTTGAGGGTAGTACTGCCGGCTGACTCAACTGCTATTTAAGTAACGGAAAAAAGATATGCTAGTTGATCATTTACCGAAGTAGAACAACAAAGAGCTCTAGGCTGATTTTGGAGTAGCCATAAATATTCTAAGAACGCGATCCACTTCACAATGGCAGCCACGAGCGAGAGTTCGATGTTCGGTAGAGCCTGCTAATACAGCCCAAAGATGGCGAATGGCAACCTGCCAGTTTGTCGTCTGCTGGCGGAGTCAGGCGCGTGCCCTCTCTCGTTTTACCACGCCGAACCAGCTGAATTTCCCGGATGTATGGAGAGGGCACTGCTGTCGAACAAAATGGTGCCGCCCAGAGAGCGCTAAATGGAATGGTTTATAGGCTGCACACTTCTACCCAATTAAGAAAAAGAAAATGCCAGTAGCATGTATCAAATCCATTCTTCAATCAAAACACCTATATGGGAAAGGTTTGAGTTTACCTCCAGCTTATAACCCGTTCATGTCCATGCAGGGTGTTCGTGCCACTTTCAGCCTTCATGACAGGGGGACAGAGGTACTTCCAGGTCTTCTAGTTTACCTTGTGTTTGTTTAGGTGGTTGCACAATGACTCTTGGTTCACTAGTGAGCAGCTGCACGAGAGCCACACTCTAGAAATGCCCCAGTCTCATGTTTTTATGTTGCCAATGCGCATCTGCCGAGCTTCAGTGATCGCAGCCCAGGAGACTGTGCTCACCTACTTCAATGTGCTGCCAACAGATGGCGCAATGTGACTAACACGAGGATGCGGCAGCTCGGCCGACCATCTCCGTATTCGCGACTCCAGCAAAACGGATGCCACCAAGCGGGAAAACCGGCAACCAGCCGGACCAGGTCGCTTTGCGCCCCTCCGCGTCTCTGGTGGCTTTCGCTGACACGTGTTGTCGGCACGGTGGCAAACAATGTAATTTGATGAAGGTCCAAAAATTTCTTAAGCTTTCCTGAGTGTTCATTAGTGTGGTGAAGCCTCAGTAGATTGTTTCCTTCCATCACGTGTTTGAGAGCCTTTTCACTCCAGAACACACGGTCGCGTGCTTTCGATTTCTGGGCACAGAAAAACGTTTTGATTTCTTGTCTGTCTCGAATCACATTCAAAGTGACGACTACTTGGTAGCTGATAAGTGGTTTCTTTATAAGGATGTAAAACAGTGGACTGAGGACGACAGGTGAGGCGTTTCACTGGAGGGAACACCAATGTTGCAGTCAAGTGAATGGGAAGGTTCGATAGCTGCTTTTCTAGAGTTTGGTTGTGTTTGGTTAGCTTCAAGTTCGAGCCACCCAAGCCGGCTGGTGCGTTGGCTATTCATCTTGGTTGCTTTTCGCCGAAAAAGCCTCTGGACCACACTGAAGGAGCTGGGCTGATTTCGCAATTACTTGATTCAGGAAAACCTGCTCGCTGCAAATGATGAATGAGGGAAATTATCTGTTTTCAAATGGTAGGGGACGAGTCTCGCAACGTTAGAAGCTGTCACGGCATTTTGATTTATCGCGCCACCAATATCTATATTATACCCCCGTCGAAGCCAGCAGCAATATACGTCTACATTGATCAGGTTGACCGGCCCGGGTTCGATACCCGGACCAGGCGGATTTTTTCGGTTGCGCACCAGTCACCTAGCTGTGTTTGGAGATTTATGTTTGTCCTTTGTCCCTCTTGTTCCCCTTCTCCAGGGATTATTTTCGACATTCTTGTCCAGCTCGCTTGCACCTTTGCATTTAATTGCATTATAATCATTTTCTCCGTTCAGGATTCGAAGTCAAAATCAATGCAGAGAGGTTCTGCGTAAATCTCCGATGAAGACTCTCTTCAGTTTGTCTCCGTGCTGCCGGCTATAGAACCATTTGGCTAAGTTTAAGTAGTATCTCTCTCTGTCAGATACACTTTTATTCAGCAGTTCACTTAATAGCTAGTCAACTAAGCTCACATTTCAACCCGAAGAATATACTAATATTGCTTTAGTGGGACATAGTCACACAAAATGACTTCTCGATTGCTACTAAAACCTGAATTGAAATACAAGTATCAGCTGCTTAGTGGGGCGCCGGCAGTTAACATGGTTCTTCGCTCAAGAAGCACTTGCTTAATTTTTGTAATTTTCCTGCAGCTTGTGTTGCTGACCGAGCAGACGACTGGAGCTGTTTCTTAAACGCGGATACGCACAAAAGCTCGATTTTGCAGACAGATAAGTCGCATGGTCGAGGCATGCGAGGTAGTTGAGAATCGCTCTCGGTGGAACAATTCTTTAAACATCGCAGCCTTCCTTAGATGATCAAAACTGATTAGAGTCTATTACCGTCTCTCCGGAGCCCATAGTTTCGGTTTTGAACGAAATCTCTGAAACGAAAGTTTGACATGAAAAGAACAAAAAAACACCAGGAAAACAAAATTACGCTTTGAAAGCTTATGTGCACCGGCTACACTTAACCGTCTCAGTTCAAATACCTATAAAATTGGGCATTAAACAAAAAAAAAATCTGTTAAATCGAACGCGCCACCTGTTCAGGCGGCCCGGCCGAGCCGACGCGACCTGGACTCAGCCGCCTTGTTTGTTTGGTGGGGGCGCCCCCTATAGGTCGCTGGAGTCGCGAATAAAGATAGGTGCCAACCGGGCCATTATATCACGTATAAATGCAAGCTGGCACAGCGCTCTGGGAAAGAAACCTTGTATACCAAAGCAAGCAAGTAAAAACATTCAAAAATTGGTCATTACAGAGACTCACGTAGCACTGAAGGATACGTAATAACAATTTCCGGAAGATTGTCTACTAAAACCAAGACCCAGATTGGCGACCCCTGCGGAAAACTCGGGCATATCTTTGGCGCCTGGGAGAGATAGGTACCTATCGTCGATGTCTTGCCATTCACGAAGCAGTAGTTTGCGTTTAAGGACTTGTACGTTTTAAGTTGGTCTCAGGTACATGGTGCAGGTGGCTTAAATAGGTAGTTGTGAAGATGTGCCGACGATACCTTTGGCAGATTTGTCATATTTTTGAGAAACAAGTGCTTTTTCTTTTTACCCGTGGTATCAGGAAGGCGTGCCGATCCCGTATAGGCGCTCGGCAGGGTTTCAGAGATGTTGCTGTTGCTTGGGGGTTTTATGGCGCAACAGCTACGGAGGCCATACTGTGCCAAACAAAATTAAAAAAGAAAACAAGCTGTTATTGTTAATGTGCTACAAAATAATAATTGGCTCAGCAGGACTAGATCCGATTAATAAAACCTGTGCTAGTAATAAAAGACAACACAGGCTCAAATCGGGATGAGGGGATATTCACCCAATAAAAGAGCAGGATGGAATGGGATTTGGAATTGAAACAATTCAAAAAAGTAAGTACAACATGTCCAAAGCTGGACAGAGCCACAAGATATGCATGGTGGTGAGCGTATCCCCGCAATGCTCGCACACTGGAGCGTCTTCCCCACTAAGAAGATATTTGTGCGATAACTAAGA